CCGATTCACAGTTGATTTTCGGGTTAGGCCATGGAGTGGCCTGGCCAAACGTCTGCTATAAGATGCTCCACCACCCGACATACGGGTCCTTATGACAGAAACGTGGCGAGCGAGTTACGCGGCCTCATTCAAAACCCCACTGCGAATTGTCACGTCGGCTGCTCAGACCCACGCGCTGGGTTTGTGCCCTCGCCGGGGTCACGTCTCGCTCAGAATGTCCCCATCGTCTCCCTTCTGCCGCCGATCACGGCGACACGTGCAGGGAGCTCGCGCCAAGCTGTCGAGAGCAAACGCTCGGCTGAGTGAGGCAAGGCCCCGGCGAGGATCTGCTTTGGGATGATTTGCCACCCGTGTGGAAAGAACCCAGAGTGTACCCTCAAAACCATAACACCGGTCGGAAGCACACGTGTGAAACCTACTCCATCCGTATTGGGAATAAGCATTGTAATTTATTGGGCGCTTAAATGCCAGATAACTTCAACGTGCCGTTCATCGCACTGCAATCATCCCAACGCCCCGCTGGAGTTTGTCGTTTTGTCGCCATGGGGACCTGCTGTTAGCAGCTGTCCCTTTGCGGCACAAAGTGAACACAGCAGCGGCCTGCCAGCGGCCATTCGTCTGTCGGTCGGGGGACATTGTTGCTGCTCCTGACTCCAAACGCAGTCATTTGGAGGGCAACTTTTGAAATTCGGAATATGTGGGCCGTGACACCGGCACACAATGGCCGACTAGTTTTCGAACGACGTCAACGGCGATGCAGGCGGCACTCCGTCAACACAGGTCAAGCGCTTGCGGTAATAACCAGGGAGGCCGGGACCTTGAGATTCAAATCCTGCCAAATAAATATTCAAATTCCACATTTTTTAGTGGAGTGTGGTGGTGGGGAGGGGAGAGTCTCGTCATTGGAAACCACGAATGACTTCCCCACAAAGTGATCCGTAATTTCGACCCCAGACAGGGCAATGAGGATCCACCCGAGATTGGAGCCAGGTCGTCCACTTCGCAGGCAGCGACGCTTCTCGTTCCGCGTGGCCTCGCAATTCCCACGTCGCGTCGCCCAGTAGGGCCACCGTTAAACGGCGCCTCTCTCGTCGTCGAGACGACGGTTCCCGGTGGGGGGGGGGGGGGGTATCGGCTTCTGGTGGCGCCCGGAACAAAGAGGCGGCGCCATCACCGCTTGCGCGCATTCCTATCTACACCACTCGGCCACCCAGTCACTCGCTCACTCGGCCTCTCACCCACTCAGCCACTTGATCACTCAGTCAAATGGGATTATTACTTTGCAGGATCGGAAGAGGTGGTGACGGCTTGGAGATGCACTCATCTGGCAGTGGAATGATCATGGTTGGTGAAGACGATGAACATTATTGTCATTGTTCGCAAGGGCACAGTTATTATAGCTACTCTTAACAACGCCTGGCTAAATTATATAAATCGCAGTCAAAAGTCAGCGATTTCCTGCTGCTCAAATGAGCAACGACGCATTGGTGCTCATTTCCTGTTCACAACCCTGAGCCGGTGACAGAAATATTCCACATCCTATGGTGGGGGCGAGTCTCTCCACAGCACAACCACTACTGACTTCCCCATGAAGCGGTAGATATTTTATCCACCCTAAAGGGGCGATGGGCCGAGTAAGTCCTCAACTACGATTTGACCTCGGGGGCTTGGCGATCTCTGGGAGCATCTCGCTCCGCCGCTGGGCCCCGTGGCCGGCGGTTCGATGCGAACGACGAAACGGTGGTAAGCATCGGCAGTCACCGCTCCAGAGTGACGGGAGGACACCGGGACTTGCCTGCGACCGGAGCAATTCACCTCAAGTGCCGGACTCTGTTGCTACACGGAGGTGGGGGCCGTGAGTCCCGACACGGGCTGTGGAGAACTCCTCCGTTAACGAGCGCTGCACTGTTGCGTCTGAGAGGCGAGCGAGCGAGCGAGTCCGTGGCGTTGGCTCGGGGAGAACGGTGGGGGCGACGCTGCCACGTCGAGAGCAGCCTAACTCAGCTCCGCAGCGCTGGGCCGGAAAAAAAAAACCACACACTTCCTTCTCTCCCTCTTCTCGCTCTCCTCATTCACACCACTCTCCCATCTCTTCCCTCTCCTATCACCCTACTCCACACTGCATACACACTCTCCCATCTCTCTCGATGATGATGATGACGACAACACGGAGCTGCCCCTATGTAGATGCTCTAACATGATTAGTCATTTCCTTAAGTGACTGTTTACATTGACAAATAAGTAACTAAATGACCAATCACTGCCGAGGTAAACACAGGTATGGGGGGGAGTGGACTGCTCCTGGTTAGCGCTCCCCTCCCCCAAGGGGACCAGATACATTTCCCTCTTGGGAACGTCTCAGGGGGGCGAGGAAGGTGGGGGGGGTCGCAGCGCAGCCGCTGGCGAGGCAGGAGGGACGGCGAGGGCTGCCGGTCCTCACCTGCGACGCCACGGCGCAGAACGCAGCAGTAGCGCACGCCCCCCGCCTCCCGAAAGGAACTTGCGAGCAGCCACCCCCCCCCCCCTGCAGCGTCACAATTTACTAACCCCAAGCAGCGGTTTGAGAAGTCGACATCGCAAACTGTGGTCCATCCACTGCTGGATGAAGGCCTCCCTCCTCCCTATACACATTATTTTACCAAGTAAGGCCCACTGAGCTATGTAGCTCTTTTTCAGAAGCTATACCTGGCCAGGATTGATAGCTCAACGAAGTGTCTTATCACATGGATATTTATAACAGCCAAATACTTTGAAAGTATGTTTCTAAATGTGGAGGGGAAAAACCGGAGGACCTGGAGAAAAAACCCAGACGCCCACGGGCAGAGAGACACGCAAACTCCAAATATAGAGGCATCACAGGCGTCGGGGTCGGGGTCGGGATCGAACCCACAAACCTCCTGTATACCAGACGAGGTAGTTAACATCTCCCTTGCTCTCTTTGGCGCCGGCACGCCGAGTCGAGCCAAGTCGACGGCCGAAGAAGTTTGTGGTTCAAATCCGGCAGGCCGCCCTGTATTAACCACAAGAATACGGTCCTTCTGCACTCTCCCGCATCTATTCTCAATCTACTCCCCTCCGCACCTCTCTCCCATCTCTCCCCCCTCTTCTCACGTCAGCCAAAGCAGGCCAGTGTGTACCAGCGTCATGATCCAAATTACTCAATTGGGATTACACACAGCAGACATCAAACTCTGCTGGCAGACTAATGCCTGCTTGCAGGCCAGGTGCCACACCGGGACAGCCGCCACCGGGGGTGCCCTTGCACGCGTGTTGAGATGGGGTCCAAGTCGCTCATTGGGAGTAACGGCGCTCCGAGCTGCCCCGGCGTGACGGCGCGACACTAAAACACACTTCAGCTGCCACCATAGCTAAAGAGGCAGAGAGCAGCGCTCGGACCGTCGTGGCGCCGTCGCCCACGGACAAACGGAGCTGCGTTAGTGGCACGTGCCGGGGGCTTGCCGCACCTCTCACGGGCGGCACACAACTAAACCAGCCGATCCTTAACTCAAACGTGACCCCAATCCTGACACGACGTCGAGTCATCGGGCGGCACCACGGTGGTAACACTCGCGCCTCGCAGCAAGACGAGCTTGGGTTCGATTCCCGACTTAGGGACCATTCTGCATGGAGTTTGTATGTTCTCCGCCACCCCCGCCCCGTTCCAGCAGTGCGATTGTGTGCGAGTATTTGTGTGGGGTTCAGTAGTGTTAACGGTTAGCGCACCGCCCTACAAACCCGGTGACCCGAGTTCGATTCCCGCTCACGGACAACACCAATGACAGTTTCCTGTACCGGTCCTGGGCTTCCCCCCCCGAGGTCGACTAAGGGGAGACAAAGGCGACCGGGCGCAGTGCTGGCCAACCCCCGCCCCTGCACGTGTCATGCCCCTGCACGTGTCATGCCCCCGCACGTGCCATGCCCCTGCACGTGCTATGCTCCCGCACGTGCCGTGCCAGCCTTCAACAACAGTTTGTTGAAGGCTCTACAGTAAGTCTTGTGTGAGCGAACGAAGTTTGTATTTTTTCCCAACGTTCTGGATGGGTTTTTGTCTGGCTTCACCGGATTACTCCCATAACTAATAAAAAACCGCACACAATATAACCGGTATTGGCCGAAACATTCCAATGCTGAAACGTGACCTGTAAATGACTGAATTGGGATCGCCACAGAGCGGTGATATCACCCCCCCGACTACTGACAAAACTTGGCAGGACCCTTTTGAAAACTTGAGACTCGGTGTGGCTTTCATAGGGGTCATGATGTGTTTTTTTTATTAATCATCAGATCATCACCCCCTCGTATTCCCACTATCCCATCCACCGTTTACCGGCACGCTCTGCTGCTGGTCTGGCATCGGTCGCGCATTTCTCCCTGTGGCACGAACCTCCTCCCCATGCTCGTGAACTTGCATTGCCAGGGACTTTTGTTTGGCTCCGATTTACCGCGAGCCCCGTAGCAACGGCCGAGTAAATACACTGTGCGCGCTCGTATACCTGCACACAGCGAGTTGTGCAACCGACTTTTGTGTACAAACAGAAGCCAGAATCGTGACCTTCACACACAACGTGCACCCAAAACAAGGAGAGCCCCACACACACACAGGCACTGTAGCCCCTATTGTCAGCCACAGGGGCCCACGTCAAGTTTAGGGCATGGCAGCTTCCGAAGTGAAAGGTTATGAATAGCCACCCCAAAGATTTCATTATAACTCGCTCTGCATTCACGCGGTTGATGACAACACACACGCAGAGGCACGCCGATCACATGATGCCTTCAGCAGCTAGAATAGCTCAACATCCACACACGACATCCACAAAACATCCACACACGACATTCACACGAGAGCCGACTACTAAAGCGAACACGAGTGCACAAGTCCGACCTCAGGCACGCGCATCACCCCCTCACCTTTCCTCACCCTCATTCATCCCCAAATTCGCTCACGCCCTCACTCGCTCACCCACTCACCACGTCGCTCACTCGCTCACCCCGTCACTCACCAGAAGAGCTCGTATCCTCGCAGGCTGCTCGTGGACTGGGACCGCGGCTTGAGCACGATACTCATCCTCACCACACTCACTCAACCCGGCTACACTCACCTACGCTCGCCTAAAGTGCACGACATACAGCTCTGCTCCGCTACCCCGCGGCGACTGCACACCCGGGCTGGTGCTCACCCGGCTGCACTCGTCAGCCACTCCGCCACGTAGCCGCGTGGCCAGGTTCGCACCCTGGGCGAGTTCAGTGTAGCGGAGCTCAGATACTCGCTGCATCACGTGAGCTCACACAGCCCCCTCCTCTTGCCTCCATGTCCCTGGCGTCTGTTTCCCTTCTCCCGCCCCCGTGTCTCTGTCTCACTCCACACCGCTGTTGTGTTTGTGTCGGTGTTTGTGTCGGGTCTATGAACCCTCCCTACTTCCCTCCCTCCCCCTCTCCACGCACCTCGCCTCCTCCCCTTCTTCTTCCAGTCTTCTCCCTCCTAGTTTCCCTCTTCTTCAGTGTCCTCCTCCTCTCCCTCCACTCTCCAGCGACCCTTCCCGAGTGCCAGCTCCACTCTCCACTCTGGCTCCTCGCCCGCTCTCCCCGCCTTCTCCCTGGCGCCATGCCCTCCGAGTCTCCTCCTACTCTCTTGCTCCTCCTCCCCGTCTCTCCACCGCCACCTGTCTCCACATTCCTTCATCTCCCCCTTGCCCCCGTGGATCACACAACTCACCTAGTGCCAGGCAGTACAGCAAGTAGGATCCGACAGCTTGCATGACGATGTTTACATTTTTTGTGTGTGGACCCTTGGGTTTCATTCATGGCCACTCAAACCCCCTAAAACGTTCCAATCACCCCGAAACTAGGTGAGGTGCTCTTATTATTGTGGTTGTTTACCCAGGAATGTATCACCGATTCTCAAGACTCTTTGTGAAGAGGATCCTGCCAGGTTTTCACAGGAGGGAGCGATGCTGCTGCTGCTGCGTGTGATCCCAATTCAGTAATTTGCGGGTAATTTTTCAGCATTGGGATGTTTGGCCAACACCGGTTGAGCTATTGGAGGGAAACGGGACAGACACCAACGTACAAGCTCCACTCACACACACAGGGGGAATTCTCAGCATTCCCGATATCCTGGCTGCCCGACACAATCGCAGGGCACACGCAGCGGTACCACTCAAGGTAGCAAACATTCAGTCGCACAGATTTGCTTATCCGGCTCACGAGAGTTACTCCATAAACCCACTCAATTTCAAGTGGTTATCACGTACACTTCACTGGCTTTGGCCACATAAGAGACGATGCTGGATCCGCAAAACGATGCTACGTTGGGTGTCACCGATGAGCGAGGCATCTGTGCCGGGATAACAGGTCGAGCGTGGGGAGCCGGCGGCCCGTCAAGCACCCACGCCGCCCGTGTCCGCCGTGGGACGGAGGCGGCCGCTCCGGCACTCCTCACGACGGTCCGATCAAGAGAGCGAGGGGGGTGAGAGAGGGGGGCAAGCGAGACAGCTGCTGCAACTGCTGCAGCTGGGGAGCTGCCCATGACAAACCCCCTGACCGTCGAGTCCGGGTTTATGTTTTAGTATTGTTTGTTATTGTGACTTTTTGGCCCACCTCTACTGGACATCTGTGAAAAAGAGCTTCATAGCTCATAGGATTTTTCCCAAGATAAAAAAGATTCCCATTCCTCGTCGCTCTGCCTCTGCGAGGCCCAGGAATGTTGCTGCGGCCAGGACAACGCAACGCCGGTAGCTGCCCGCACGGGGTCGCGCAGCTCGCCCCGAGGACTCCGCGATGCTAGGCAGGCCGCCAGGAAGCGACTGCAATCCGGATCCCCCCCCGCCCGAGTGCAGCGCGATCCGGGTAACCCCCACTGGGAATGACAATGACAACAACCAGAGCAGCGGTGGCCTGCGTTTACTCAGGGCGGGCCTAGTGGAGTCTCAAGACAGGTTTCTTTTTGTTCAGGAGGACCCTGCTGCACTGTGGATGTTTAACAAATGCCGTGAATGAGAGGTTTGACTTCACGTGGCCGCGGGGGAGAAAGCGACACCCAGAGCTGCACACAGATCCACTCAAGCATCCAATGCCGCCCTGCTATATGCTAGCCACAGCACAGCCTCATCTGCCGTGCGGCATTGGCTACATGGCGTTTGCAGGCACGAAGGATTCATTTGTCAAACGGTTACCGAGCACAGGCCCAAGAAGCCCCAAAACGTCCAGCAGCCAGTAACAAACAGCACCATCAAAAATGTAATGCATGAAAATTAAAGCGCTACTTAAATTGAGCAAGGTTATTATTATAATTATATATAAGAGCTTTGGGGAGAAAATATGGGAAGGAATTCCGCAGTTGAGCAGTGGGATGGAAATGGCAGTAAGAGCAGCTGACGTGACCTGCAGTGTCGTGAGTGAGTGGGTGAGTAAATGTGTGGGGGAGTTCGCAAGTGAGTGGGTGAGTGAGTGGGTGAGTGGGTGAGTAGGTGAGTGGGAGAGTAAGTTAGTGAGTGGGTGCGTGGGTGTTGTTGTGACGTGCAGTGTGGTGGTCAGTGTGGATGAGAGCCGTGTCTGGTAGACCGAGTCCTCAGCATGGGTGGAATAATCCAACGCATTAAATTTAAGGGAACCGTGACCATTGCAGGAGCAATAAACAAGTGATAAGGTGGCTCGAGTGAATCGGTGAGTGTGGGGACATCAATCACCCTGACTGCTGCTCTACTCTGAATTCTATCGGGCGCAGCAGCGAGGTGGAAGCTGACAGGAGCAGCAGGATTGGCACCGCAGCCCCAATCTGCGCCGTGTGGTCCACGCGCACGGCCACGTGGCTCGGCGTGGCCCGGAGTTCCCTGCGGACGCCGCTATGAGCCACGCACGGCCCAGCGGACGCAATTCCACGTATCTCGGCGGCTTACCCAAGAACATACACACACACGCGCAGGCGAAATTAAAATTTCGTAGGTACAACGCCCCAGTTAAACGGAATGATGATGCTGCTTCTGCTGCGCTCCGTTTATAATGAAGTCATAATAATTGAGTGCACTTGGTATCCGCCCCATCATTTCGATAGCGCAGAGCGATCATCACGAAGGAATGCACTGCTGCCGTGTTTCACAGACGCAGTCTGCAGTCGTTTCACAGTACCACGGTGACGAGATGTTATTATGCTTGAGCTGAGCGTGCGGCCAGATGTTAACTACCTCGCCTCGTATACAGGAGGTTGTGGGATCGATCCCGACTCTGATGCCTGTATATTTGGAGTTGGCATGTTCTCCCCGTGGTCACGTGGATTTCTGTTTTTTCTCTCCACATTTAGAAACATGCGTTTAGAGTATTTGGCTGCAATACATTTCTACATAAGGCACTTTGTTGAGCTATCATTCGTGGCCAGGTCACTTCTGGTAAAGAGCTCAGTGGACCTTACCAATTGAGTAATTTGCGGAATATTTTTTTAATTGCCAGATTTGGCTTGTGATGCCGGCACACAATGACCTCCTTTGTTTAGAATGATGCTACACGATCTTAAACATCTCCTGTGAAGCACACGACAACGTAGCATTTTATTTAATTCACAGTCAATAAGCCCGGTGTTATCACCGGGGCGGCCCACTTGATTTGAACCGCGAACCTCTGCAAGGAGGGCAAGCGCGACGGGCAAACTCGGCCGTGATTTCCACACCAGGTGTGCGCGGCCACTCCCAGCGTGTTTTTCTCACCACTTACTTGGAGTATCCCACGTGAGATTTCCTCACCTCCTTCGTACTCCACACAAACACTCGACAGACGCTCGCCGTGCGTTTGGCCGTACGTCGGCCCCCATTCTTCCGCGGTTCCCCGGCACGGGCAGCGAGCGCCGGGCAACGCGATGTCTCAAGACCCTCACGACAACGAGCCTTGGAGCCTCCAGAGTTTTTCCTGAGTGACAAAAGCACGGGAATCCTCGCTGCCACGCTCCGCGTTCGAGGACGTATTTTGCGCGCTCACCGATTCGGTTGGTCACAACAATGCCTCATTGTTTGAGCGAATATCTAGCGCTTCAATTATCTTCACCCAGAACATCTCGTGCCAAACCGCACGGCTGTACAGTAAATTATTAGGCGACTGGAGCGTAAATAATTTCCTTGACATTCTCGGGATTGTTAACCAAGGGTCATTTTCTGTGACAGTCATCGTCGGTAGCTGGGCCGAGACCTCCCCAAGCGGAAGAACCTGGCTCCCGAGCGGAGGTATCTCCGCCCAGCTCTGGCCAACCCGGGCGCCATGGGGCCAGGGCGCAATGACGTGGGCGCCGTCCCCGGCACCGCCGTTCGACCGCCGCTGACGACCCTGGTGGGGGGAACTCAGGGAGCGAGCCGGTAGACGGGTGTCATGGCGACAGCGTTCCAGGGCACGCTCGGGGGGGGGAAGCCGCGATCCACCAGGGAACACCCCCCGGGCCCCGCTCGGCGGTACCATGACACTCACTGTCGGCGCTCGCTCCGCGCTTGCTCCGCGCTCTGCAAAATACGCGTGGCGGTGGGCACAAGGCCACTGCGGGCACGCAAGCACGGCCCAGCGCGGGCACACGGCCGCAACGCCACCCGGCCAGCGGCAGAGTGCTCGCCGCTTCATCATTAGGCCTCCTTTGCCAGTACCAAAATGTAATAATAGGGTTTTTCCCCTTTTTCTGGCAACAAAACTGAAACCTTTTTACGAGGATTCATGCCTGCATTAACCACAATACCTGCAGTCAAAATGCATTTTGACTGCAGGTATTTTGGTTAATGCAAAATGCATTTTGACTGCAGGTATTGTGGTTAATGCATACATGAATTCTCGTAAAAAGGTTTCAGTTTTGTTGCTAGAAAAAAGGGGAAAAACCCTATTATTGCTCGCCGCTTGTTGCAGAGGTTCGCGGTTCGGATCCGGCAGGTCGCACCGGGTTAGTACTGCGGCATGAACAGTGGGAGACACGTCGCTCACTACACGGAGGACGTTAAAGATTCCGTGAGGTTATTCTTAACAAATAGGAAATTATTGTGTGCTGCCGTAACGGCCCTAATTTACCAAATTCAAAAAAATTACACAAGTCACTCAGTTATTGCGAACTGCTCGCTCTCATGCTGAGTCACCTTGCATTGTTTTCTTTTGTCAGTTGTGAATATAGCGGCCTCCACTGGCTGCAGGGGTCTTGTGAACCCAGAACACACAACGCATACAAACAAAGCATTCTATTCTCACGCACACGGTTTGGCCCGTGAAGTGAGAGAGCGGTGTCCAATTTGAAATAAACCATCGTTGCTCACCCAGTCTACATCCCCAAGTGCTTTCAAGAGGACTGCTGGCAGGTCTGAGCAAGGAGGTGGAGACTCCACATTCCTATGGCAAGGACCATTGTTCAGCATTGTCCCTGTCACCGCTGGCTCCAGGCCGTCAGTGAGGATGAGTGCTGCCCAAAAC